AGAGAACTTGACCTTTGACCTGCTTTCACGTTTCTGAGCCCTGGCGAGATACCCTTTCACGCTGCTTTACTTTTACGAGGCCTGAGGCCTGCATCGGGTAAAGGCCCTTTTACTCTCGCCGGCCTAGTTTCGAAGTCCTCTGAGAATCATTTACCTATTAAGGATATGAATCCCTCTTTTTGCGCTTTCATATGCAGATACAATATGAGGCGCAGAGTCTAATAACTCTTCTCGTGTGAACCAGCAATCTTCACTAGGATCCTGGTATGCAAACCTCACCTTATATTGTCGTTGTGGTCTACCTCTACGTCCAGAGTGGTAAGTACTTTCTGCAACAATTTTATCCACATCATACTTCCCATCCATACTTGGAGGTATCGCTGATCGACAACTTCGAAATAGCTCATTTGTTACACAAGGTAAGAGCTTGGACGCATGGAACACTGGATATGTACGTAGATGTAGAGGAATCTCAATGACATACGAAGGACCATCCACATCTTCAATTATATCTAAAACTTGCCAAGGTCCTCTGTAGGCGGGAAAAAACTTATGAGAGATGTTTTCTTCAGGAGCAAACTCTTTAGATTTCACCCAAACCAAATCTCCTACAACAAATTGAGATGGTCGTCTGTGTTTATTTGCCTGTTCAATCATCTGATGTTGTGCTTTGAGTATGTTCTCCTTTACCTTCTCCATGTCTTTCTGGTACTGGACTGCAAATTCACTAGTCCCTATAGGAAGTTTATGTACTTGATCCGGGTTCAATCGATCAATGGGTCTGTGTGGACGCCATCCCAGATGTAACTCCATAGGAGTCTTACACGTAGATAGGTGTACAAAGTTATTGTAGGCACTGGCAACCTTAGGAAGATGTTCATCCCAGTCAATTTGATCGGGACGAATGTACATGCGTAAAGTCTGTTGCAATATCTTGTTCATCTGCTCAGTCTAGCCATTAGTCTCAGGATGTCTACCTGATGACATAGTCAACTTAGAGCCATATACATTCATCAATTGCTGCCATTGTTCACTTGTGAACCTGGTATCTCTGTCACTTACAATAGTTAAGGGATGCCCAAAGTCTTTTACCCAATGATTAAAGAACTGTCGAATTACCAAACCAGTCTTTGCTTCCGAAGGCAAAGCTACAAAAACACCATACTTAGTGAATCTATCCACTATGACCATTACTTGTGTTTTCCCATTTCTGCTTTTCACCTTAGTATCCATGAAATCTATAGAGACAGAGTCTCCAATGCCTGTAGGGATAGGCAATGGTTTAAGTAGCCCAAGGGGCGATTGCGTGGTGCTCTTGTTTCGTTGGCATACTTGACAACCTTGCACATACGCGATACAGTCTGCCTTCATTCGAGGCCAGGTGTAGGAACGCAACAAACTTCCATAGGTCTTCTTCTACCCAAAATGGCCTTTTGTATCATGGCATTCCCCCAAGATCATACTCTTGATCTCTTCATTATTTGGTATTCACAGCTTATCATTCACATCAGTTCGTTCGAACAATAGACCCTGAGTAACTTTATGATCAGGAAACTCTGCTGGTTTTTCTTGTATTTGCTTAATTATGATCCCATAGATGGAATCAGAGGAATACGCCTTCCTAATCTTCTCTTGTAGGTCAGCCAGCACCCACATCTAAATAAGTCACAATAACACCGAAAAAGTCTGATCTACGACTTAGTGCATCAACAACAACGTTATACTTACCCTTTACTGGCTTTAGCTCAAAATCGAACATATCAATCTCCGCAGCCCACCTTGTTAACTTAGGTGTCATTCGAGCTTGCGTTTTGAGCCAGCGAAGCGTTTCATAGTCGCAGTATACCTTAAAATGCCTTCCCAAAAGATAGTGTCGCCAATGATTGAGAGCCTCACGAAGAGCATACAACTCTCTTTCATACGTCGAGGCGGCCACTTTCTCATTAGGCAACCGACACGACATAAACTCCACAGGTCTGTATCCATGCCCATTGTCTTGCTGGAGTACAACACCTATACCATATTGACTAGCGTCGGTCGTGACTACGAAAGGTAATGAAGGGTCTGCCACTTTTAAAACCGGATAGTTAATCAAACACTTCTTCATACGCTTGAAAGACATCGTGCAGTCTGAATCCCACTTCCAAATTACCTCTTTCTTAAGTAACCTGCGAAGAGGAGCAGCTATTATCGTAAGGTGTCTTACAAACTTGCGATAATAGTTGGCTAACCCAAGGAACGACCGCAACTCAGTCAAGGTGCGGGGGTTCGGCCAATCTCTCATTGCTGCTATTTTGGCATCTTCCGGTTTGACCCCATCTCCATCAATCACATGTCCTAGGTATAGAACCTGACGCTTAGCCTATTCGCACTTCTTTGGGTTTAATTTGAGTTTTGCTTCTCTTAGCTTATTTAGCACAAGTCGAAGGTGCTCAGCATGCTCTTTTTCATCTTTGCTGAAAATCAAAATATCGTCTAGATAGATAACAACAAATTTGTCAAGCCATTCACGAAAGAGTTCGTTCATCGTTCTTTGGAAAGTGGCAGGGGCATTCGTGAGACCAAAGGGCAAAACTATAAACTCATAATGCCCATACCTTGTCCTGAAGGCAGTCTTATGGTGGTCTTCCGGCTCAACCTCAATCTGATGGTAGCCGGATTTCAAATCAATCTTTGAAAATATTTTGCTACCCGGCACGCGATCCAACAAATCATCTATCCGCGGTAATGGTTCGGCATTCTTTATTGTTATATCATTTAATCGCCTATAGTCTATACACATGCGAACGCCGCTATCCTTCTTAGGTACAAAGAGTACAGGCGCACCATAGGGCGAGGAGCTAGGTCTTATCTATCCATTTTTCAACAACTCATCGAGTTGTGTTCGCAGCTCATCCAATTCCTGGGGCGACATACGATAGATAGGCCCCTTCGGGGGCGCGCTCCCTGGAATGATATCAATGCAGTGTCGGATTGGTCTTTCTACCACACCACTTGGGGCTTCAGCCACATCGGCGAACTCTTTCAGGATCCTCTCAATCTCTTGAGACAGACTACTTCCTTAGTTTCTCCTTCCTTTACTGGGCGCACAAATGCAACAAAGACTTGGTCATACAAGTTGTGTTTCCTTACATGGCGAGCGAACGCTGGGGCACTCATGCAACAGTGAGCTAGGCTGCTTTCTTTTCGAGACCCATGATAGAGGCAAATTTTCCTCTTACCTCCTTGCTGACTTGAGAGCCAACATTCACGTTTTCTCAACTTCAGATCCGCATTTGCAGCCTCACCCCAATCCATTCCTAGCAACACATCAAAGGGCAAGTTATCCTCCACCAAGAAGGTCAGAGAGTGGAGAACACGTTCCACCTTCCCCTCTACCTCTAGCCAAAAGTATACTTGAACCCCCTCAACGTATCGATCCATGACGGTTTCACTACTATTCGCTAACGTACTTACAATGGGCCCACTTAACTTCTTAACTTTAAGCCCAAAACGCAGTTTTTGCAATCCTCTCCTACTAATATAACTGCGTGTAGACCCGCTATCTATCATACCTCCTACTCTTACTCGATTTATTTCAAGATGTGCAATTATTAGCTGTCCTTTCTTTTTCTGCATTTCAGTCCAGGCTTTGCGACGAGCGGCCAACTCATCACCCATGCCAGCGAGGGATCCATCTAGAGAGATGCATACGTTTGCCACCTCTGGACAATGTACTAGATGGGGACTTCCTTCCTCTTTAGTTTCTGCCATTGGGGCCTTCGAATCGGAGGATCCTGATTTTTCAACATTCGAAGCCCCGGTAGAGGCAACTGACACCTCTACTGGTTGTTCCCTTTTACCCCCCTATAGTCAGGGCAATAGGGGACAATGTGGTCGGGGTCCCCACATTTGAGACACTGGTCCGCTTTCTTTCTTTCCTGCCAGACTTTTCCTGTTATTCCTAACTCTTTTCAAGGCTCTCCTTCGGGTAGGCTCGGATGTGGTGGGTACGGTTTGTCCCACTTGTTATACCATGTGCCCCTTCCTCTACCCCAGGTGGAGTAAGAACCACGGCCACCTTGCGAGGGACCATTTCCCCTTCCTCCCATGTAGTGGCTTCCTTCACCACCACCCCTCTGGGTGCCGAATCCTCGTCCACCACGGCCGCGACCTCTTCCTCGGCCACGTCCTCTTCCTTGACGCCCTCCCCGCGGGCTGCAACAGCCGCGTAACTCCCCTCCTGAGCTACCGGTCTGTTGGGTTCATCGAGACCATAGTCTACGTGATCCCAGGAGATGGTCTCAGCGCCTCCTTCCTCAAAGGTTAGAAGGAGACTGTCCTTCCCAGGTATAGACCCTGAGATAGTGCGGTTTTGCCATCTTTTACCCGCTTGCAGATCCTTCCAGTAATGGCAATAGTTCGCTTCGGCGAGGAAGCCGGCGTGATCTATTGCGATCTTGCCGAACTTCTCATATGTCATCCCCTCTTCTTTGGTGCGGGGATAGAGTTGTGTTCTCAGRGGATCCGRGAGTGCTCGTGCAAAACTGTTTAAGATTTGGGCCGACGTTAATCCATGATCAGGGCATTGTAACAGTTCGTCCATAGTTGCCTTCAATGCAGAGGTACTCTTCCATTTCCTATCAGGAAGGCTGAGGATCAACATCTCAGTGCGTCGTGCTAAATTCTTATCCTCGAATCTTTCTCTTATGGCTTTGAGGAAATCTTCAATTCGTGTTTGTTGCTAATACTCTACCATGGAGCTGCATCCCGCCTCCTTTTGCAGCGAGATGGCGAAGCTCATGGCATCGCCTCCCATGCATGAAGTTGCCATCAATACCCTGTCCCAATATGGAATACGTTGTCCGTACACATATGTTTCGATTGCCGCCGCCCAATGCAGAACACTTTCCTCCTTCTTTCCATTATAGGTCCACGGTAGTTTAAGTATTATTTTACTAACCTGCCCGGTTTCCTGAGGAAGTTTATCTTTTGGATCCCCCCTCCTTTTTCCCTTCTTCTCATCATCGTCGTCGTCATCACCATCGCCTTCGCCGCCTCCAGCTCCCCTTACAATCTTCTCTATGATCTCCGGGGTGAATGTTTTAGTGACGTGCTCATCCAAAGCTCGGATGTATGTTTGGACATGTTGGTCAACATCCTTGGCTGACTTCTCGAGGAAGTTGTTCCAAACCGTTTCGAATTCCACCCGATGTGTTTCTACACGTTGCAAGGTCTGACACATTAAATTCATGTCTTGCCTCGTGTTGAGGACGGCCTCCCTGAGAAGTGCAAGCTGTTCTTCGGTTGCAGGGGGGTTTTCCTTTTGCTCTTCTAAAGCCCTTTGCAATTTTTTCCCTTTTGCCTGCAATCTTTTCTTTTCTTCTACTTCTTGACGTCTGGCTGCCAGCAACTTTCTGTTCAGCTCCGCCCTTTTTTCTTCTAGCATCAGGTTGCGTTCAACGCTGTCTGTCACAGTGGCCAATTTGACAATGAACACGTCGTGTTCTTCTTCAGATTCCTTTAAGGGTTCGCTGGAGTAATAGTACTGTCCAGCCCAATCCAGCGGTTCAACAGGAAGCCGCTGAGTTGTACTACTCTCCGGAATGTCAATGGGATGATGTCTTTGCAGTGTCTGTTCTTCCTCATATTCTGTTTCTTCTTCTTCTTCTTGTATACTCTTTAACTCTTCTTCCAATTCTTTCTCCATCTTCTCTTTCATCTTTTTTCTTGCCTCTTCTTCTTTCTGTTTTTTCTTGACTTCTTTTTCCTTTTTCTTTTCTGCCAGCTTGCGGTCTACTTCTGCCTGTTCCGCAGGTGTAGGGCCAGGCTTCACTGTCCCAGATCGAATAAACATGCGGGACGTGCATACGCGTCCGAACCCCAGTGGGAACATGAGCCGGAACAACGGCCCCAACAAGACAGAAAGAGCCAACAGGCCCTGGATGGGATAGTCATCCATAACGATGACCGGCACAGGGGACCCTCCGCCGGATCACCAAGGTACTATCCCACTTACGGATTCAGTTCCGGATCTGCGGTGAATGGAGTACTGTAATTTTTTTTTTTTTTGTAGAAGGTGCTGCGTAGATCAAACAATAGATCAAACTAAAACAAATTGACTTTTTAGATATGTATACGCTTTCTTTTTCTTTTGATGTGTTGTCTGGCTCCCTGGCTCTAACTTTTGGCAATGTGTTTCTAATGCCTTGATGACGATACCCAGCCTGCCTATCGAGAGG